GTCAATTAATTTTTCATTTTGAAAATAATCTCCATAGAAAACAAATTGTTTTCTATTTTCCAAGTAACTTTGATACCATTTTATTAATTTGCCATTAATTCCGTAAAATTTGAGTTTTTTAAGTAGAATTTTGTGATCGACCGCGTCGAATGCTTTTGATAGGTCAATGAAAATACCTAATGTATATTGCGATCTACCAAATGAATCGGAGATTTCACGAATGAACTGTGTAATGGCTTGTTCAGTTGAACAATTTTTTTTAAAACCGAATTGATTTTATATAGAAGTTTATTTAGATTAAGGTAATTGTATGTTCTATTGTATATAATTCTTTCTAAAATTTTTGAGAAAGTTGAAAGAACTGAGATAGGGCGATAATTACTAATATTTGATTTTTTTCCGTTTTTGTATATAGGAGTTACTTTAGCTATTTTTAATTGGTCGGGGAATACACCTTGCTGTATAGATGCCCTAAAGACTTTATAAAGAATACACTTTAAGTTTTCAAAGCAATCTATGACTATGTTGCCATTTATTTCGTCCGCACCCGTAGCTTTGTTTCTTTTGAGAGATTTGTAAGCTCTCTCAAATTCATCAAAAGATAAGTCAGAATGTAAATTATCTATAAAAAGCGAATTATTTATAGGCTCTAGGAAATCACTAAAATTTTTTTCTGTAATAGGGATCTTGTTTGCCAATTTGGTTCCTATGTCAATGAAATATTTATTAAACTCGTTTGCAATTTCGTTTGGTTCATATATATTTGTTTTATTTATTTTAATTACTTTAGGAAGGAAGTTTGAATTTGTTTTTTGTTTTCCTGTTATTTCTTTCAACGTTCTCCAAGTATTTTTTGAGTCGTTTTTAAATTTACTAATTAAATTTGAATAATAATTTTTTTTTAATTTTTTACGAATTTTTTCAAATAAATGTTGGTAATTTTTATATTTTTGTTGGTTTTCATTTGATTTTGTTTTTAGATATTTTATATATAGTTTCTGTTTGATTTTAGAGGATTTTCTAAGTCCTTTGGTAATCCATGGACTATTTAAGGTTTTTATTTTTGTTATTTTTTTACAAAGTGGAAAGTTTGCATCGTATATTGAGAAGAACGTATCAAAGAATTTATTATATATTGTATTTGCGTCTTCATTAAAGTTAATATGTTTCCAATGCAGAAGTGATAATTGATATTGGAAGAATTTTATATTGCTCTCATTGAAGACATGTTTTATAACACATTTAGGAGTTTATGTATAGTGTATGGAAAAATATTGATATTTATTTGCACAGTTAATTTTTTTTCCTTTTCTGATTATGTAATATAATAAATTTTTACAAAGAGTTTTATACAATGATCTTGAAAAAAATAAAAACCTAAGCTTCTCGTATTAAATAATATACAATATTTTATTATAATCATTTTTTTTTTCAACGTCTTTACTTTCAACAACGCTGCAAGCAACCACAATTAGAGTTGGAAGTTACTGGAAGAGAAAAAATGGAGTTTATAGAGTAAGATAACGATTAAAAGACAACTTAAGAGATTCCAAATTATATGAAGCAGGAAAACAAGATAAAGGAAGCGAATTCCAAAGAACTAATGTTTGAGAAACAGTAAAAAACGAGACTTAATTGAATGACGAAAATTAAATTAGTAGATGGTACAAGAGACGCTAGCTCTTTAGAGCAGTGCCAATTATAGTTGACACTGCTCTAAAGAGCAGTGCTAACTATAACTGGTAATGTACGTACGACGTAATGTTGCTTCATTTTCTCTTATAGACATTACGTACGACGTAAAATGAAGCAACATTACGTTCGACGTAATGTTGCTTCATTTTCTCTTATAGAAAAGAGAAAATGAAGCAACATTACGTCGATATATGATATAAATATGATAAAAGCTGAAAGAAGGTTGGCTGCAAGAAAAGGTCCAACTATGTTTACAATGCGTTTTTTCACTTTGTTTAAAAGAAAAAGGGCATCATTGAAAGATCCTTTCCAGATATGGCAACAGTATTCCATACAAGGACGGATTTGTGATTTATAGAGATAAAGAATAGAATCCTAAGTAAGAAATTGGCGAGCAAAATAGAGAGGTGAAACCTTAGCAGATGCTAATTTTTCAATGGATTTGCTATATGGTTTCCAAGAGAGATCGGAAATAAGAGTTAATTCTAGAAGATGAAGGGTAGATGACAATGAGTGCATTATTGTTCATGAATATAGGATGATCTTGGTTATTGAGATAACAATTAGCTGAAAAAATTGTGTTTTATCTAAGTTAAAGTTCATCAGCCACTGACTACCTCATGCTGTAGCAGAAGTGAGATCTTTTTCAAGCTCAAATGCCCCATCCAAGCAATCAGAGAGTGTTGGCTTCTTATTAAGATAAGACTCTGATAAGCACTTGTTAAATAGTTTTGAAAGGATAGACGACAGTTCCGGAGAACACTTCTGCAAGACGATAACAGGTATGCTGTCCGGACCACAAGCTGTAGAAGAGTCTAAGCAGGAAATCACTTTAGATACAGAAGCTGAATTGATAAAAAAGTCAGGCAATGAATTTTTTTTTTTTTTATTTTACTTCACCTCCTCAAGGCCGAGAAGGTCACTACAGACGAGGAGGCTACTTATTTTGTGACTATAACCCTCTCTCAACTCTATAACTCCGAAACACGAACCTTGACGAACAAGGCCGCTGCGCAGAGAAACGAGTTGAGCGCGGTACTACCAGGGACGTGGTGGGGATCGAACTCGGAACCACTCGTTTATGAAGCGAGCGCTCATAATTAAATGCGACTAGTGGAATCAAGAGATGAGATTGATGAAAAGTTTTTAGCAAACAATTCAGCTTTGTTTTTAGGTGAAGTGAAATAATCTGAACCATACAAACGAGGTGGAAAAACAGATTTGTCCTTGCTTTAGATACTGCTGAAGATTGTCCAGAAGTCACGCCTAGTTTTTGAGATGGAACGAGGTTTCGTGACCTGAGAGTAGCTGGCTTTAGCGCTAGACAAAACATTTTTACAATGGCTTCAAGCAGTAGTAAACAGACGTCTGTTTTGTAAAGAATTGTTTTGCTGATAGATATGAAAGGAATGGTTACGATTGGAAATTGTAGCAACATAATGTAGCAGCACAATATGAGAGAAAAACCATGAAGAGCTGTTAGTACTCTGATATTTTATAGCTGTTGATGGAATCAGCCTCTCTGAGAGCTTCCACAAAGTTAGGGAAACCTGGCTACTAGCTGACCTCAGAACCATAAAACTAAGTTTTAGAGCTGTAACCTCATTATTAGATAACAAAACGAGTTGCCTAGTCATAAAAACAGAGGCACAATCAAAATCCATGCATTGAGTCAAAAAGATCCAGTATTCAACACCCATAAATTGGAAACAATGTATTATAAATACATCAACGCCAGCCTAATAGATAAAAAAGGGTTGCGAGGCTGGTCAACAGATAGAATCTGTTAATCCTTTACTATATACAATATAAACAGAAAGGGACTCAAAGAAGGCATGATTGATAAGACTATTACCTTAACTTTTTCATAGAGTCCCTTCGATATATACATATTTTTTAAATTACATTTAATATAACACCTTTTGTTTTTTGATATAGCAGGATTTAAAAAAAGTATATATATATATACTTTTATTTAAACTTATAGACAATATTTTAGATGAAGCTTTATGCATATCATTGATGTATATTAAAAATTATAATGGCCCCATAATTGATCCCTGTGGGACACAACTCCTGACTTTTGTTCCATAACATATGAATAATATTCATTTGTAATGTGTTTATTATTACAAAATATTTTTTGAGTTATGCTAAAAGATTTATTTTTTCTCTACGATTCACTTCGTTTATAATTGACCATGATTTTTTTATTTCTATTTTATTTTTATTTAGCAGATTAGAATAATACAATAATTTAGCTTGTCGTAATAACGTTGTATGCCTTTCGGCGTTTTGCGGCTAGTTATCCTTCAATACTTGGAACAGCTTGATTGGTAACGGCCTGCTGTAATCGTCTCGTTTAGTTTAAGCAGCTCATAGTACATTACTTTGAGCTGGTCTCACTAGATACAGAGCATGAGCTTGAAACCATAAATATTCGGTTTTGCTGTTGATGGCTCGCGAGGTTCACTTATGCTTTTTTGCGTTTTTGCGTTGTCGTAACATATCTTCTTTTCATCACTAGTAACAATTTGGCGCACACAACCTTTTCTTTTTTTATATTAGCAGGTAAAAAAAAAATGTTTTTCAATGCCCTTTGGGTTAACTCATACGGCGCCCAATATCCTTGCATTTGAATTATTCACAGTTGTTTCAAGCACCTAGAAACTGCTTATTGATCGACTCCCAATGTTTTCGCAAGCTCTTCCTGTGTCTAACACGGATTTTTATCAAATAAAGCCTCCGATTCTGCATCTTTAAAGTTTTCTTCAGCTCCAGGATGTTCTTCATTTTCGAGGCCAAAATCACCACACTTAAATAGATGAACCATCTTCTGCATTTTTGTTTTGAATGAGTATTGTCGCCGTATATTTCCACTTATATTTTATGCGTCTCAGCTGCTGTTGTCTTTCGGTGGTAATTTAAAAAAAAATACACACAAAAAAGGTTTTGTAGGCACAACCTCAGTCACGTTTAAAATTTTTTATAAAAACGTCTTTACATTCCGGCAATTGATATTAGACTGAAGTTTACAGCCTAGTTTAGCTTTCAGGTAAAATTTATTTCAGCTTGATCGGCCGAATTATGAGTCTCAATGCAAAACGTTTATTTTCAATGCATGCAATTAAACGTTCATTTCCAATGCATGCAATTCATCCCCCAATAAATTAAATAATAATTAAAACAAGAAATAATTATATAATGTAATGTTATACAATGTAAGTTATATAATGTATAGATATCTGGTTAAAAAATCTAAAATCTGATTCGGTAAAGTAGTGGACAACAGGAAAACTACATTATGAATTAAGTCATTTAATATTTTTTATTATTTACATTACAGCGCAAAGTTATAACAATTTATATACCATGATCGATGTTTCTTTTCCAACCAAATACTGAAAGCAGTCGTTAGATGTCTCGCCGCTTTTAAACGAGGCATCATTTTTGAGGTGATGCCAACACTCTCCGTAAAACTGTATTCCAAAATACTAAACACAATTTAAATAAATAAGAATTTTCTATGTCCAAAATATTTTAATATTTTGAAATATTTAAATAAAAGTGATTTTTAAAACATTCGTAGTTAAAAACAGTTAAAATTTTAGCACTTTGTATTTGTAGAAAACTATTTTTAACATTAATTCAAGTCTTCTTTTTACTTAATATTTTTTAAATTTAGGAATTGTTTTTAGATTAAAAAAATCTTTAAATTTATTTAATATCAGGTGAAAGTTACTCCATGTAAAAAATACTCAAAAATACGAAATATACTCACCGATCTTCGTCATCGGCCAAAATATTTTATTCATTATGCTGTTGTTTCTCTATATATTGCTTAAATTGAAAGTAATCTTGTGAGATTAGGTCAGAGTGAAACATTTGACATAACCACTTGTGGAGGGGGCATTTTAAAGTTAGAAATTACTTGCGGAGGGGACATTTTAAAGTCAATCTTTTAAACATTTAATAATTTAAAAAATTCAGAATCAATGAAAATCATGGATAGTGACAAATATAAGGAAAAAATTAAATCTTGTACAAAACTGTAGACCTAAACAAAACTTTATAAAAGACGGTCAAAGAAAATATTACTTTAGCGTTTAACACTCAACCTCAACCACTGGTAAAAAAAGAATTTTGTTTTATCGTTTTATAATTTTGTTCATTAATATATTTGTTGTTGCCTTTCAATGCTGATATATAAAACTTATGTTACCGTTGAATTTTGTTGCTTGCTAAAGTCAGCACACTGTTCGACCACCATACCAATATTGTACCAGTTTATGTTGTTTCTCATATTCTTAAGTGAACTAAATGGTTTTGTTGAACTTTTATAACAGCCCAATTTTTGTGCTTAAAAAAAATTTTTTTTAAAGCAAAATAAAAATAAAAAAATTTAGAAAAAAGGCAAATTTTTAGAAGACTTTAACTTAGTATTATTTGAGAATATACAAATATAAAACTTACTTCCTGAGAGACTTTTAAAATCATCTAAAAAGTATAGTAAAAAGTTAAAAGATAACATTTAATTAAACATATATTTAAATAGAATATAATAAAAATAAATCAATGGAAACAATATAAATGCATAAATTAGAAGGTTTTAAATGCATAAATTAGAAGGTTTTAAATGCATAAATTAAAAGGTTTTAAATGTGGTTTTAAATAGGCAATTATATTCTAAGGGTTTTTATCTAGAGATCACTCACTTTATTATTTACTTAGAGCTCACTCACTTTATTTACTTAAAGGTCAAATACTTTATTATTTACTTAAAGTGAGTGATTTATTATATTATTTTACTTAAAGTGAGTGAGCTCACTCACTTTATTTAAATATTAGCACTAAATTTTTTAACTGAAAAAAACTACAAAACCAATTAATCATAGTAGTCATTTTGAAATGTTATGAAATATTTCAAGAAATAAGCAGAAAATGCCTAATCTGATCTGCCTAATATAAAATATACTGATCTGCCTAATAAACAATAGACGCAAACTGGAACTTGTCAAGCTAAAAATTATCATTTGTATTTATCACCCTGAGACACTTCTTAACTACTTCAGTAACATTAAATGAAATAATTTGAGATCATGCTATACATTTAAGTTGATACAAAAGCATGTACAATGGCAAATCAGACTGGAATATCACATCTGATTATAAAAATGATTGACTTTCATGAAAGCATTGTAAATAACACACTCAAAATAGCAATTTAAACAACACATTTGATTTTATTATAATCATTATGTCAAAGATCAAAAAACTAAAAGCAAAATGAGAGCAACAAATTTTAATCAGTTTTTAAAATAGCTAATGTTATAACTCAAAGTCAGCAGAATAAATCCAGCCAATTACTACTTTTCAAAAAAACTCAAGTTTGTTTCAAATATTTTAGTAACAATCGACGCTTGACTTATAGCAAATGAAAAAAGAAATCAACCTAACTTTTCTTGGTTTTGCAAAAGCATTTGACTGTTTTGCATATTAGAACTGCTGCAAAAGCCTGAAATATATATATATACTTTTAATGTAAACTTACCTCCCCAAGGCCGAGAAAGCCACTACAGACAAGGAGGCTACTCAATTGTGGTTATAACCCTCACTCAACTCTATACCTCCGAAACACAAACCTTGACGAACAAGGCGCGGTGAAACAAGTTAAGCAATTATAAGCATATTTTTTAAATATTTAAATTTTACCAATAAGAAGAAAACTATTTTAATTATCATTTTTACTATTCAATTTTTTTCATTATTTAAATGGGAGGGGTTCCTTTGTCTCCTTTTCTTCCTACTTTTTTGTAAAAACTTAACAATTAGTATCATTTTGGATAGCCTTAAACTAGCAGTAAAAAATATATTAAATTTACCTGTAGCACACACTGTTTTAGAAGTTAATCTTATGTCATCAATAGCAATATCTGATAAAAAGCTGTTTCCTCTTATTGCCTGGACGATTATCTAAATTTTAAACCATCTAAATTTTATATTAAATTCTTATTGTGTCTATGTATTAAGTATTATATTTCATGAAATTTTTACACTTTCACAACACAAACTGAAAAGAGAAAAATAAAAAATTTGAGAAATTCAAAAAAATTTTTCTTACAAAATCTTTTAAATTTATAAACCTGATAATCCACATCTGATCTGATAGTAACTTCTGAACGCTTCCAAACATTACCCTGATTGCCATTGACCATCTTCAATAGAATTTTTTCTTTTTGAGAATTATTTTTAACCAAAAATACTAAAAGACTACCGATTCCTGATCCATACATGTGGTACCAAAATGAAAAACAATCTCCTACAGATGCAGGATAGCTTTTACTAGTCAACAAGGCAACATCACCCTGATTCATTCCTGAAGCTTCTGTGTATAAATAGTAACCTAAATATTTACAAAGAAATATTTCAAATTTCACTACAGCGTAAAATGCTAATAAAAATTATGATCCTGTTGTTGATAAAGTAATTAATTCAGTATGACAATAGTTTCCATGACTTTGTAACCGAAAAGTTAATAATAAATTTTTTATTTTTTTCTTTCACTACCTTATTCCCCAAAATCAAGTACCAAGTGGTACTTTTATTTTAAAATTACTTTTCAAAATAAATAATGCAATGAAATAAAACGAATGATCTGAGCCCCATAAAAAAGGGAAAAATAAGCACTTGATAAAGGCAAGGGCCTTGAGGCAAAGAGGATTGGAAAATGTGTCTGTAAGAGAAAAACAACTCTACGAACAGACAGGAAAATTGTAAAGCTGTGCCAATCTGACAGAAGAGCTTTATGTAGAAAAATTGCTTCTATTTTGAAAGAGGAAGGTGTGAAGACAAGTCGGATGACTATTAATCAAAGATTACTGGGTTTCGTGCTTACTGCCCAAGAAAAAAACCTTGGCTTACTGAGAAAATGAAGCAAGCACGTATGGAATAGGCCCTGGCGCATAAAGACTGGAAAGATCTGGCGCATAAAGACTGGAAAGAGGACTGGTCAAAAGTCATCTTTTCAGATGAGTCTACCATCCAAGTATTAGATGCCAGAGTATTGAATCTCTATAAAATTAGTTGTTAAAGTGTTGAATCTCTATAAAGTTATAAAGTTCAAATCTCGAATGTGTGTATAAATTCAGCAATTAAATTTTCTGAACCTTTACCTTACCTTGTTAAATTATATATATATATATATATATATATATATATATATATATATATATATATATATATATATATATATACATATATATATATATATATATAATTTAACAAGGTAAGGTATTTTATAGAGATTCAATACTCTGGACAGGCAAATCCAAATTTTAAATTTTCAGTTATAACAGTATTTTTTACAAATGAACTAACAACAAAGGACAACAAATAAACATGGTGGAGGTCATATTTTTACAAAACATCCCTAAACCATTAGGTTTGGCTATGTCTTGAAAACAATAAGCAAGAAAAATTAGTAAAAACAGATGGTAAACTTAATTTATTTTTTTTTCATCATGTGTAATGAGATGACATTATAAAAAATATTTTAGTTTTTTTAAATTTTTGATTCAAAAAATTTAAATTTTGATTTAAAGTATCCTCTTTTTGCTTTTATAATAGCAGCAAATACTCTGTGCTCATATTTCTATTTTACAACCCTTACAACCAATTTCTGCAATGATTCAATTGATATTGGATTCCAGCATATTTGTATGAATATGAAAAGGTATTTTTGATTGGTTGGTTGCATTTTTCTTATATTTCTATTTTGTCCCATAATAACTTGATCAGGTTTATATCGGGCAACTGAGGAGGCCATTTTATATATTTTAGTTCTTTTTGTTTTTCTTTGTGTTTAGAATCATTATCTTGTTAAAAAACAAATCCGAAACACACAATTTTTTTTCTGGACGGAAATGCAAGTTTTTGGAGAATGTTGTGGTATTCTTTTTATCAATGCCCTCAATTACCAAATTTGTTTCCATCAAAATATCCCCAGACCATGACTGACGCTTCACCATGCTTGATTGTTGGGATCACGCATTGTTTTATCATGCATTTTCCAATTAACCAACAAAGATATTGTTGACAATTTTCTCTGAATATTTTTTACTTTCAACAAATTTGATTCATCTGTGAACAAGACTTGAGACCATTGTTGAATTGCCCAATCTTTATGTATATTTGCCCATCTCAATCTCTTTATTTTATTTAGTTTGCAAAGTAGTTTGCAATTACAATATTTAACACAAACAATCTTTTAACTACCTTTCTGTGTAAAAATAAAACTATAAAACACAACATGGAAAAAAATAAGTTAACATTATAGCAAAATATCTCCAATTATTACAGCAAAATATACCCAATTTTAACAGCAAAATAAGCTCAAACAATTCATTATTGTAATGATGATAAACATATACTCTATGTTCACAAAAGGTGTGTGAATTTCTTTATAATCAAAATGCCATAATAAATGCTTAAAATTTTATTATATGTTAGTTTTGAATGGAAGGAGTTTCTATTTCCAAAGAAAACTGTAGAGTTTCTATTTCCAAAGTTAAAAAGTTAAAAAAGCGCATGAAAACATTTGACTAGTAGTGTATATAAATAGATTAAAGAAAGTATATTTTAATATATATTAATATCAAAATATAACTCAAATTTTATTTTTTTTAAAATTTATATAAATCTTTAAATCTTTTCCATTAAATTCTCATGATTTAAACCATGTACCAAAAAATATAAAAACCATCGTCACCATTGTCACTATTGTCATCACCAAATTATTTAAATCTATTTTATTATTATAAAATATTATTTTATTACAAATATTCATGACCTTTGATGTAATTTTTAATCTGTCAAACTTTACGTCATGGTGAGATTAATTTAAATATATCTTTGAATATCAGAGTTAACAGATAATGTAATTTGATTTGCAGTGACTCCTATAAATACATGGTAGGATTGGGGATTATTTGACTTACACCTGGAGATATACTTATATATCAATTCATCTATATGTTATGAGATTAAGTTTCAAATCTCTTACTTTTTTTGTGCTTTTATTTAGAACAATTTTATTTGATTGCATTTTTTTTTGTTTTTATTCTTCTTTATCCTTTTTCCTGCCTTTATCTTTCTTGCATCCTTTTTAATATTGTTTCTGATCAAACAGACCAAGTTCTTTCTCTTCACCTGTTTTCTAATGTTAATTTTGGTGACTCAACATACCAAATGTCTCTAGTACTATTGACTATTTTAACCTTTTTACCATTGAACTTTTTAATTATCAAAAAATGTCAATTTATTGATAGTAAATTTTATGACTTGTTTTCCAGACAAATCAAATCACCTTCAGAGCAATCTTTTCTTCTCTACTTAAACTGTGTATTTTCTCTAAATCTTGCTTGTGCTCAGTTTAACTGATTCTCCTTTAGGTGAATCCATAATCATGCTAAATTTTACTTTTTTTAGACCTAATTCACCCTATTATTATACTTCTTATGTAGTCTACTGTTTTTAAACAGATATGGCAGCTTTTATTCCTTATTGGTGTTTAATTAAACCTCAGGAGTAAAAAGATGGTGAGCACAAAAAAGAGACAACCTTACCAAATGCTATTATTTGCTATGGATATATGGTTTCCATGAGAGGTCAGTAGGTAAAAACAATTGTAAAATATGTAAAGTTAAAAACTCAGTAAATAAGTTTTTATTAGACCAATATCAACAGTATTGAAATAATTATTATCATTAAACAACTTTTAGTTTAGAGTTCAATTATTTGTAAACAACCTTTAGTTTAGATTATTCACTTATTTGTGAACACATTCATTTGTAAACAACAACAGGGTTTAGAAATTCAATAGCCATTCATTAGCCATTCATTGCAAGTTTTAACACAGAGGAAGAATGACTTTTGACTATAACTGACTACTTTTTCAAAGCAACTAAAAAGTTTTTATCAAGTTTAGAGTATATAGTTGTATCAACAGTGGAGCCACTTTTAAGGTAAGATTTGCATGAGGATAATTTAGATGAAAAACAAGATGTGACTAAGGCACGATACTCCAAAGATTGCTAAATGTTTCAATCATAGACAACTGCAACTATAAAAAATAATTTAAATTTGGAAACATTCTCATATGCACCATATAAAGAGAGCTTATGAAGACTTTGATATATAAAAAAATCATGAAAGCCTTTGATATACCAAAAGCATAAACATTGCTTGTTATTGCTTTTGAATTATTGGCTCAAGTTGAGACAAACACCCAGATGAGACAATCATTTATTAGAGATATATCAGTTAGTAACACAAACGTTTTTCAAAAGTCTTTGAAAATTCTTTGATAAAAAATGAGAATCTAGAAATAATGGACTTTAGCATTAAACTTTTTCCATCAATTTCTTGTAATGATCAAAAGAAAGTTCTCAGGGAGCTGCTCTAGTGAGTATCACATAAAAGAATTTTCAGTAGAGACACAAAATAAATTAGCCCAAGGACCATCACAAAAAAAAAAAAAGTTTGATCAGATGAATTAATGAGATCAGATACAAATTAAAAAGTAAAGATAAGTGTATTAAAATATGGGATAAAAGATTAAGTCGTATGTACTAAGATTCAGTGCCAGTAAGGTCAGTGGTACTAGAACCAAGCTACACAGCACAATGAGTATTAAAATTGCCAATAATTTTGGTAGATAGATAACAAAAAAAAACTAGTCAATTTGATTAGAAACAACATCAATTGTGCAATCTTGAAAAGGAAGAGAACATAAAGATTAAAAAAACAAAGAGTAAAGTAAACAAAAGCAAAATTAAAAAAAAATAAACAGAGGATTTTAAAGCGAATCAATATGTAGGTGGCGAAGCCATGTGACTATGGAAGTCATATGATATATATATATATATATATATATATATATATATATATATATATATATATATATATATATATATATATATATATATATATATATATATATATATATATATATATATATATATATGTATATATATATATATATATATATGATATATATATATATATATATATATATATATATATATATATATATATATATATATATATATATATGTATATATATATATATATATATATATATATATATATATATATATATATATATATATATATATATATATATATATATATGTGTGTGTAACAAAACATTTAAAAAGAAGTTTAAAAATGTTTTACCTTGTCCATTCATTTCCTCTGAGTGATCAAACGATGGCCCTGTATTACTTGTGGGTGTTGCCCCTGTGAATCTTTGCCATTTAAAAGGAGTGTTGCTTGCAACCCAATCACACAAATTAAGTTCAAAAGAGCAATCATTTACTCCTATAGTAAACTTTTTCAGTTTAAACACCAAATTCATAAACAAACTATTTTATTTCATTAAAAATTATCAATATCAAACGATTAAAAAACTTTTAAACACTTTATAAATATTTTTAAAAAAAAATTTTATATAGTTTTATTTTAAAAAAATTCATTTTTTACCTAAACATTTAAAATTGTTGCAGACTGTAGATTGTGAATCTTCTGAGGAGCAATTTTTACCACCATTCTTAGGAGCAGGGTCTTCACATTTTCTTGATCTAAACATTATGCCTGACCCACAACTTTTACTACAACTTGACCAACCACTCCAACGTTCCCAGTGACCATCAATTGGAGCTGAAGAACAAAAAAACTAAAAACAGTAAATAAATAGTAATAAAACAATATTCAATGGACATATTTAGATTATTACACCATAATTGTAACCTTGACATTCAGAATCACTGCATAATCTTTCTTGAGTTTCCACTCCATCTTCATCAACAAAAGGACATTTTAGTATGTCTGAACTTGAGCAAAATCGCTGGCGTGACTTATAACACAAAGCATTACAAGGTCCAAATGAGGACCATTCACTAACAAATTCAGTTGTATCAGCTAAACAATTTTACTTATTATTATAAAAAGAATTTTTTTTTAACATTTGATTTCATTTTATTAATATAAGCTCCACTCTATCCTCTACTAGAAACATGCTTGAATATTAAGAACAAAAATATATTAAGAAAACTTATAACAGGTAATAATGGTGAAAATATATATATATATATATATTAATAAACAAAATTAATTGAAAACAAATGTTTTTTTTAATTTAAAAAAAATTGTAAAATATAATTAGCATTGTGTTAGCAAAGTTTATTATGCTCTAATTTAATCTTACGTCACAATCTTTCTCTCACAAATATACAGTATTGGCCATTAATAACAATATTTTGCTTTATTTTAGTATGAATTTAAGTTTGAAATTAAATATTTTAAAATTTAAAAGAGATTTTTTCTTAAATTTTTTTAAAATTATCATAATGTAAATTTATTATAAAACAATAATAATAAAAAAAATTATAAACTAAAATATTGAAATGAAAACAAGTGTTCATATGCATCAAAAAAAAAAGTGGCCAAAATAAACAAACTACAACAAAAAAATTAACAAACTATAATAAATTTTTTTTTTCAAAGCATAAAAAAATAAAAAATAAACAAAATTTATATTTTGTTGACAATCCTTTAGTTTTTAGGCATTTGTTGATCTGTTTCGGCGTGGAATTCACTAAATTAAGAGTAATATCTTTTGGAACATTACTCAGTAATTTTGTTACTTCTTTTTTCAGCTGGTCCAGATTTTTTACTTCAATTTTACCAAGATTGTGGTCTAACCAAGATCATATATTCTCTATGCAGTTGAGATCTGAACTATTGGCAGACCAAGACATGATTTTAATGTTGTTTTCTTCAAACCATTGCTTGCAAATCTTAGCAGTATGACATGAAGCATTATCTTGTTGGGAGATAATTCCTATGTCTTTTTGGAAAATGTCAATAGAAGGCATTAAATAATTATCCAATACATCTAAATACCTTTGAGAATCAAGCCTTCCATTAAGTAGTTTAAAGCAACCAACACCTTCATAGTTCATTAGATGTTTATACTGCCACTATCTTGTTTTGTTCTTTACATAGAACAATCTGGGTTTATTATTTCACGTGGCATTCTTCTCAGCATTACTCAGCTTTAGAATCAAACTCAATTTTTTAGAATCAAACTCAACTGTCATTTGAAACAAACATTATGTCACATGCTCTTAGACATAAAATTTTTAATGGCTAAACACCAGTTTTTTCTTGTTTTCTGATATTTCTTTGATAGATGTGATTTTTTGCAAGCAGTTTGCCACATGTAATTGTGTTTTTGTAGTACTTTTCTAGTTGTTCGAGCACTGGCAACATCAGAAGCTCCTTGCCATTTTTGACTGAGATCAGTAGATGATAACTTTCTATATTTTATTCACTATGCAAATAAGTGAACATTCATTTCTTTTATTTGAAATGCTGGGTCTTTCAGGGTGCTGAAGATTTTCATATTGCATTTCTGGTATCGGTTGACTATTCATCCAACAGTTGCATGTGTTTTGTTTAAATGTTTTACCATTTCTCTCATTAAGATGTTTTATTCATACATTGCTATGATTTTACATTTGTAAATGTTGTAGTCAATTCTATACTAATTTTTATATTTCATTTTTCAACATTTTTCAAATATATATAACAACTTCTTAAGTAGTTATTAAATTCTCAAGTAATTGTTATTAATTCCCAAACAAGTACAAAGTTCTATTCAAAGACAAATGAAATTTTGAACAAAGTTTGAAATAATAGAGTGGATTGGTAATTTTGTCCATTACAATTGTTTTAGATTATGAGATATGCATTAAAAAACATGATAATTAGTGCATCCATTAATATTTTTATGAATATTTCTTCTCAGATTATCATTCACTAATGAACTTTCATGAAAATACTGTTGTCATCTTTAGACTGGTTCTTCTAATGAGACCCTCTTTCTTTCAGACAAGGTCCAAAAACAGATTGTAAATCTTGTTGGACTTGTTCTAGCTGCTAAGCTTGACTCTCTGTACATCATTGTACTTCTGCATCTAGTCATTCAGCAAAGTCACATTCTTTTACTTCATTCATGCTTCTTTCCTAAAAACTTTACTTCATCTAATTTCCTTAACATCAATCTTTACCCACCTCATACATCAATCTTTACCCACCTCATACAACTTTTTGTCAAGTCTTCTGTTGTCGGTTCCTTGCTTTTGATCAATATTCTTTGTTTTCTAGTAACTCCTAACTTAATAATGGTTAATTTACTGTTTTAAAACTAACAAAACACTACCTTAATGCAAAGAGCACTTCAAAGCTGAATGGTATGGTTTAGTAAAATTTATGACTCTAAAACACTTTTATCTAATTCCAAAAAAAAACTAAAGAAGACATATCAAACATAAACCCCAATATTTTAATATTTGCAGACAAAACTATTAACAAAATATTATATAAATACTATTAGTAATAATTACAAACTACCTCCTAAAGATCATGCTAAACTTCTGAAAAAAAAATTACTAAAGTCCATAGTTCAAAAATCTACTCAAGATATGGTATTCCATACAAGGTATTCCATAATATTCTATAGAAGGACGGATTTAAGATTTATAGAGATAAAGAATAGAATCCAGAATAAGAAAATGACAAACATAATAAAGAGAAGCTCAGATGTTAACTTTGCAATGGATGTGATTGGTTTACAAGAAAGATCGTAAGATTCAAGTAAGTATTAATCCAATGGTAGATGATTCATCAAGTACATTACCATTCATAAATATAGGAAGATCTTGGTTGTTGCAATAACAATGAGTTAAAAACTTTATCAAAGTTTTATCTGAGTTAAAGTTCACCAGCCATTGACAGCCCCATGCTATAGCAGAAGTGAGATCCTTTTCAAGCTCAAAAGCCGCCTCCAAGCAAATGTCAGAAATGTTTGCTGCTTGTCAAGACAAAAATAAATGGTAGTATCATCAGAGAACAATGCCACCTTAGATGTGAAATTTTTTGGGAGATTTTTATGTAAAGATAGAACCTTGAGGAACCCCTGATGTTACAGGAAATAAAGAAGAGTACTGTCAATTGAGGATAACTTATAAACTACAATTGGTTAGGAAGGGTTTAATAACCTTAAACATGTTAACTGATACATCATAAGAAGAGAGCTTATGTAGAAGACCAGCATGCTAAACTTTTAAACTTTTAAAGCTCAAAGTCTTTAGAAATGTCAAGAGAGATTTAATCTCTCCACATCTATCTAATGCACAATTACCCTTACGGAAATATTCCATGGAAAACCCATGGAATTCCATGAGTAAACCATGGTTTTCCCATGAAAAACGGGAATTCCATGGAATTTCCATGGGTAAATTTCATGAAAATTGAAATCCTATGGAATTTCCATGGGTGAACCATGTTTTTTTTTTCATAGCTTAAGCTGCGCCATGGTTGTTACAAATGCGCTTTTAAAGATGGCGTCATAGCTCGTAGAGTTATGATTATTTTTAAATTAGAAAACAATACTTACTGCATTCTTCTGTTTTTCTGTGTTTAATAAGGCTATGAATTATATGTTTTTTATAATGCAATACATTTATATGTTTTAACTAAACATACAGACATAAACAACTAGATATATTTATCATATTATAATGCATTATAAAAGGGATTATTTTTAATTATATTTTATTATATATCATTTATGCATATACTTATTTTAACTGTTTCCAGTAGCTTTGCTTACTTTGCATAACTTGCAATAGTATAGCAAGTATGTCAAGTAAACCAGTTTGAATTTTAATGCCTACTTGGCAAATTATTTGCCAAATAATTATTATTTGGTTTACAACAAATAAATGTTTAGTTTTAATCTACATTAAATAACTAGTGTATTAATGTACATAGTGTAATTTAATGTACATTCAAACTAGTATAATTATTATTATAAAATTTATCGAACGTATCAAAGAAACTTATTTAAAATATTAATATACAAGCAGTATATTAGATAAGATTAGATAACTAAGATAATAAGATTAGATAACTAATGTACAAAAGATAACTAGTATGATCTTTTTTATTTTTTTTTTATAATAGCCTTAGATTACATAAAAATGCTTGAAGTTTATTGTATCGTAAATGTTCATTAAGTATTAAAAAACATTTTTTTATGATAAATGTTCTATTCAATTTTAGTTCTGTTAAGTTGTTTTTGTCTTTTTGTTGTAGTTTTTTCTTTAGAATTATTAAAATATGTAAATAATGTAATATAAATAATGTTTATAAATTCTTTTATATTTACTTTATTATTTCATTTAAATTACTACATTATAAGCCAACAGGTTTGACTGGCAATATAAATAATGTTGTTCATCGTTTATATTGTTTATAACATCGTCAGTTTTTATATGCATTTAATATTTTTAAAAATAGTTCAAAAGCTGTCAAAATAAAATGGTGAATTGAGTTTAAACCAGAAAAGATATAAACGTAATCTTTGGGATTCAACTTGTAAGGATGTTCCAAGAACCACTTAGTTGGAGAAGGAAAACTGTGGTAATATTTTATAAGTATCAGTAAGGGAATTTACTTAATGCACAAGATTTTACTTCATAGTTAAATATAAGCATATAAAAGCAATGTTTATAAATAATACACTATTATTTATTATAATACAATTATTTTTATTTGTTTATATTTAACTGATGTAAAGTGCTCGTCTTTAGTTAAAATAAATTAATTTTTGCACACACTTTGATATTTACTATGCTTTTACATTACTATACTTTATAAATTACATATTTGTTATGTTTTAAATAGTGAAGTAAAAATATAATAAATTTTTGAATTTAATGGTATGTGCGTAAGTTCTTTTATTTTAACTTTATCATTTTATTTAAATTACTGCATTATAAGCAGGTAAGTTTGACTGACAATATAAATAATGTTGTACATCATGCAGACAGCTCAGACAAAGAAGTAGGTTTTTACTTAAAATTACAATTTATAAGTTATACTATATTTGTTGCTGCCTTATTCTATATAAATGTTACTAACATGCAGGTAAAATTTATATATGTGTATAAATCTTTTCATTTTAACCTTATCATTTCATTTAAATATAAATTTTTAATTTATTTATTTAGCCGTTCATTAACAAGTCCTGTGCTTTATAATATATTAAAAAATGGAAGGACGTGAAGAAAACAGGTTTGTAAATGATGTTGTACATCATGCAGATAGCTCAGAAGAAGAAGTAAGTTTTTTTTTTAATTACAAAAGTAAATATATAATATAATATTTGTTGCTGCCTTGTTCTATATAAATGTTTCTAACATGCAGGTAACATTTATATATGTATTAGTTTGAATAAATCATTTTAATAAAGTTACATTATAGGCAGGAATGTTTGGCTGGAAATATAAACGATGTTGTACATAATGCAGATAGCTTAGGCAAAAAAGAGGTAACAATCTAATAATTTGTATTTATAAATAATGATATATTCATTGCTACTTTTTTCTATATACCTAACATTTGGCAACATTCATAATTGTGTATAATGCCTAATTATAAAGTAAGTTATAATAGATAATAATTATAAGTAAAATGAATTAGTAAATAAAGAAAACTAGTTAGAATGTATATAATAGTTGTATGATGTATTGTCTAGATTGGTGAAATGGAGAATGAGACTAACTAGGGTGAAAAAAAAATGAATATTAATATGTGAATGGTACTTTGTTTAACATCTACCTGTTTCTACAGATACAGTACAGACGCATTTATAAATGGGCTTGATGTTTTTTTGAATTAAATATGTTGTATTGATGGTTCTTTTTAACTTGTTAAAACTTGAAGTTATTATCAAATTTATATATACTATTTTTATCAAATAGTTAATATAAAATAATAAACATGTAAATTGTTTTATTTTTTGTAAAAATTGTTTTCTTGATAAATTTCAATTGTTTATCACTATGTATATCACTTATAGTATTACATTACTTGTAATTTTTTGTTTTATTTATTTTCAGTATGTTATACATATGCGTGCATTAAATATTGTGGGGAAGTCAAGTTTTGATGTTTTAGGTGCATTATAGCTATTATTTTTCAAAGATTTGTAGGATTTAACAAGATTTAAATTTTATTTTGTTTATTGATTTTATTTGAAGAAAGCGATCTCATAGATTAAGAGAACTCAATAATAGTGGGATAAAATTTGCTTTTATGATTTAATATGACAATTCAAATAACATTAGATAAAAAACTTGAAAACAAATCATGCTTTTTTACCATGAAAAATCCATAAGTTTTCATTGGAAAGGTGTTCCTAATACCTATGGAAATTCCATGGTTTTTCCATGGATGGAAAATCATTGAATATCCATGGTATTTGGAACACTTTTCCATGAAAAACTTAAAGATTTCTCATGGGAAATTCATGTGTTTTCCATGGAAAACTCATGGTTTTTCCATGGAAAACTCATGGTTTTTCCATGGAGAACTCATGGTTTTTCCATAGAAAACTCATGGTTTTTCCATGGAAAACTCATGGTTTTTTCATGGAAAACTCATGGTTTTTTCATGGGAACGTGTTCCAAATACCCATGGTTTTTCCATGGGTTTTTTTTCTAAAATTCCCATGGGAAATTTTCGTACGGGTAGTTATTACTGTTAACAAATCAGTAGAATGAGAAAATCTAAATCTATATTGGTGATCAGAAAGTAAATTACTAGATTCAAGATAAGAAATTAAGCATTTGTTAAATAAAGACTCAAAAACCTTGCTTATGATAGAAAGAAGACTAATGGGACAGTGGTTAGACAAGCCAGATAGCTCTCCAAAATTTTTGAAAACAGGAATAACAGATGTTGCTTTACAGCAGGCTGGAAAACAAGACTCTGATGAGCACTTATTAAATAATTTTGAAAGTATAGACGACATCTCTGGAGAACACATCTGCAAAACAATAACAGGTATGTTGTCCGCACCACAAGCTGAATATGTAGAATAGTCAGGAAATCACTTTAGATACAGAACTTAAATAAAATGATTATTTTAAAGTTTTTTATTTTAATTTTTTATTTAGAGCTTAAATAAAATACTTGTCTTTCCATTTTTATTTTAACCATCCGGTCAGTAACCAAACTTTCACCATTCGTTCAGTAACCGGGTACCCACCTACTGTAAAGTGAAAATAACAAAACTATAATGTACGAAATTTATTGTGAAAGTGGGAAATTTTGTTTTCTTTGTTAGAAATTAATAATATTATAAATAAAACATTGTATTGAATGATGGATATTACAATGGACAGTGAATTGGATCATGGAAATACTATGCATCCATCAGGTTTTCAACGGTAAAACGTAATTTCTTTGTTTACTTTTAGGTTATTTATTTAAATTATTTATATTTTTAATTAAAAAATTAAATAATTAACTGAAAACATTTTTCAATGGGAATATATTTGAATTATTTGAAGAAGAAAAGTCTGATAATGGCTTCGAGTTGGAAAGTGACAACGATGAGTATTTTCTAGAGAATGAAGTGGCAGCTTCGGATTCGGATGACACTGGTGATTTCTATTTTCTATTATGCAATAATAATTATAAAATATGTTTAATACTTTGTATACATTTAGAAGAAGTTGATGAGAGTGAACTTGTCGAAGATGAAGAAGTGAAAAAGAAGATGATGATGACGATATCAAAGATAGTCTCTTGCATTTTTCTACAATATTCTTGATGTCACCTGCCTTGCAGCATATATTCTTTATTACGATAATAATAAAGTACTTAAAAAAAAGTCATACGAACGACAATTATTTTATCGGCAATTGGGCAGAGAGCTGTGTACTCCATTCGTCGAAAGCCGTTTGCATAATCCACAAAGGCATTTCACAACAAAAATCGCAATTGAAAGTTTTTTTGGTCGAGCTATAAATCTATATATTTAGCCAACAGCAAATAAATCTTCAAGACCCAAATCACAACTTGATTTAACTGGAAGAAAAAAGATTATTGGGGTATGCCATGTTTGCCTCACCAGCGAATTAAAAAAACGTTGCAAAACTCGAAAATCATGTTCAATATGCAAGGTTCCAATTTGTGACAAGCATTGTATTTCCACCACAACATGCAAGGAGTGTGTGAAATAATAATTACCATAGTGTTGTGCTTAAAAATATAAATTATAATAACTGAAAACATACCTTAACAAAAAATCTTATTATTGTGTATAACCCAGCTTTCATATAAACTGACATTAAACTTCAAATAAAGAAGAATGATATATATATATACAAATAGAAAAATAGTAATTTATCTATCATTAGTTGAAAGTTTGACTTGACTAAAAAACAGACCTAGAACATTCTTTATTAAAGAACTGTAAAATAAATTAATGTAAATAATATTTTTATTTTTCTAAATTTAATTACCCTTCTACAAATAATCTGAAATAACAACACTGGTAAGCTTGATCAAAACTTATTGGAAAATAAATGTTAATTTATGGATTACTAAACTCATGAATATTTATATCAACAGAGGCACTCAATTTTTATTTTATTTTTTTAATTTTCATTTGCATAAATAAACAAAACCTTAAATTTAAAAAAAATTTTAAATGCTTCTTATTGAAAAATAAAACAGATAAAAATAAAAAACTTGCTGGTAAAAAAATATCTATATATCACAAGCACCTTTATATCTAGTAGAAGGAGTGAAGTGAAGAAAAGCTTTCTAAAAAATATATTCGTTGCAAATAAAGTTATTTTTAAAATGTTAAAAAAAAAGGTGTTTTGCAATAAAGTCAGACTTACACTTGCAGCTATATAAAACATTTAATTTTAATATGTCTTTTTCACTTAGACGAACACTTCCACCAACTGGTATCTCTGGGTTTACTAACCGGACAATTGTTTTAAGGGTTTTTCCATTTTTGGAGAAATCATATGAACCATAATGAAGTATACTTTCAAAATCATATTCAATGCCTAAATCATCTGAATCTTCTTTGCTTTCTTTTTCAAAGTTATTGAGTTCATCTTAATAAAAAATTTATGTTAATAAAATTAAAGAATTATATATATATTAATATATTATAATTATGTATGTATATATTAAATATATATATATTTTAATTATATATATATATATATATATATATATATATATATATATATATATATATATATATATATATATATATATATATATATATATATATTATATATATATATATATATATATATATATATATATATATATATATGTAAAATATAATTATATATATATATATATATATAAATATATATATATATATAAATATATATATATATATATATATATATATATATATATATATATATATATATATATATATATATATATATATATATATATATATATATATATATATATATATATATATATATATATAGGGTGAGGTGGGATACATATATCACATTTATTGCTTTTCATGTATTTAAAAAGTCAAACTGTATTGGTTATGTCTAGCAGTTTTCTTTTTTTTTACTGATACAGTCTTCTTTTCAACTTTATTCTTCTCTTCTTCTTGCAACCATGCGACAACATCTTGTGCTGTTAAAATTTCGCCCATATATTTCTACATCTTATCGGTGTGAAATATATATTTCTACATCTTATCAGCTTGAAATATATATTTCTACATTTTATTAGCTTGAAATATATATTTCTACATATTCTATATTTCTCGGCTTTATTTATCCAAAAAGGACCAATTTTAGCAACTTGTATTTTTAATAAAGTTTTATCTAACAGCATTTATCACATTGGTAGTGTAGTTGAATATTTTATGGTTTTCTATCAAATCATAAATCTGTAGATTTATGATTACTTGTGTGTCCTGCTTTGTTTTTGTTACATTTCTATTGTGTCCTGTTTTGTTTATATTACATTTCTATTACATGTGCGATGTCTATATTATCATTGTTATTTTTTACTACACGCTTTACTATAGTGTCTTGGTTTTGTTCTAAACATCTGTTCAATATCTATTTTAAATTTTTTTATCCTTTTTTTTCTTCCAAAATTTTTCTTCATTTTAATTGGGCTTTACAGCTCGGTCTAGTTTTCTGCATTTTTTTAAACTATAAAATAATAACTGTTACATAACAGTTGAAACTTAAAATAATTAATGAAATTAAAAAAAAAAGATTCATACAATCTTTTCTTTTCTTTCACTCTTTAATTTGAGTGTGCTATTTTTGTACCTTTCACAAGATTTTAAAATATTTAAAGACAAAGCACCTTGTGCTTTTGTCCTAGAATATTTTTAAAAAATGCATAAATATGTATCAAAGGACTAGGCCGAACTGTCAAGCCTAAGTAAAATAAGGAAAAAATTAGGAAGAAAGAAAGGATAAAAATATTAAAAATATATATTGAAAAGATGTTCAGAACAAAACAAAGACACTATAGTAAAGCGTGTAGTAAAAAATAATAATGATATAATAATGAAAATTTGTACTATATATATATATATATATATATATATATATATATATATATATATATATATATATATATATATATTATATATATATATATATATATATATAATAGAATTATGACTTTTTAACTTTTTTTTAAAAAAAATTTTTCTGTGTCATTAATCGATGAACTTTTATTAGAAAACATTGAAATCATGTTGAATTTCTCTAGGTTGTAAAAAAAAAGGTCACCTCGCAATTAAAATTACATTTCGTCATTTATTTAATCTTGTTACTGTTACTCCTAATATGTGTGACATTCGTGCAAATCATTTAAAACTTGTATAGATTAGAAGTGTTTAGAACTTTAGAACATTTTGGAAAATAACAGAATATTTTAGAAGGCTTTAAAACATTCTAGAACAATTTAAAACATTCTGGAGCAATTTAGAACATTCTAGAACAATTTAAAATGTTTTGGAACATTCTAGAACTATTTAGAACATTTTGGAATATTCTAGAACATTTTAGACAATTTATAGCTGCTCATCTAATTTTATAGTTATTACAGAAGCAAAACATGGCGTCATACGAATGTCTAGTGATAGTAGCAATCAGAAGAACAAGGATGTCTGGACCAATAATCTGGTAAAATTTGAAGACTCTCATAAAAGAAGAATGGTCCCTTTAAATGAATATTCACTGGAAGAAAAGTGCAGAATGCCTCTCCAAAAGCAAATTATCGGACGATATTATTTCCTTGGACCAAAAATCAAAGGAACAAAGGAGCAAATAGCAGAAATTTCCAAAGAAGTCACTAAATTGTGGAAGAATAAACTGAATTTTCCTCGTGTATGTGATCAAGATCTACAAGCAAAGTTTGATGAAATACTGAAATGCTATGATAAATGTGTCAAGCGGGGAAGCTACAAACCCCTTGATGAAATTTTTAATATTACTAAAGTGGATGGAACATAGTTATCTTACGAGGACAAGCAATTGTACCATCTCCAAGTGGAAAGCAAAGGAGCAGTGGGATACTCCAAGTCCAAGCAGCCAGTAAAGAAATAACCCATCCCTATAAGAGACAAAAACTTTCTAATGATTCATCCAACTCGTCATCTTACTATCCTGATTTTAGTGATTCTGACTCTGAGGCTGACAACAGTGAATATGAAAACAATGAAGAAGATGAGACAAACCCTACACCGAGCAGAAAACATCATACAATACATAAACAACTGAAAACACAGTTTGATAACGGAACAGAAGTAATTCTTGAAACATCAGGCTGGAGAGATGATATGAATTTTTGTTTCATCTCACTCAAGTCTTCTGATTTTTTAAAGAAAAGAGACATTCATAAGCAATGCAAGGTGGAACTCCAGAGCTATACTAGCGATCCTGACCTTCATTTTAACTCCTTAAACAAAGACAGTTCTGCAGAGAGTCGATTTATATTGTATGGCTGGGCAACCCATTGGTTTACAGACCAACTGTACAACAAAAAGGACTTTAATAACTTGGCTGAAATACTAAATCCATACAAAAAGGCTTTAGGCTCTTTGAAAAATCAAGAAGTGAAGCAAGAGCCATCCATACTACAGATACCCAGAAGTAATTAATGCATAGAGCGCACAATCAAAGTAATAAAGAATTGTATTACATGACTATGACATTCTAAATACATTTGAATACATAATAGTACCTATGTCAAAATCGATTTTTCAAAGGCGGGGTGAACTTGAAAAGATATACAAATAATAGTTCATTTTGTGCTTTTTAGGTAAAAGTTATATACATATATACATACATTCTCAGTTACTCCACATTTACCCTTAGGTGCTTCTGATCACGTTTGATCTCTCTAAAACTATTATTTCATTCTTCTTCATTGTCAGAATCCCCTATCAACATACAACAACCTTAAAGCTAACTGGGAACCTTTCCGTGATTTTCTTGATGAGGGCCCTTGGGTAGAAATATTTTGTCTTCCTGCTGAAAAATGTGCTTCATATGTTATTTCTTGGATTCAGGCTGGCTTGGAATCTCTTATTCCCTTGTAACATTTCCGAGCCAAGCCTTACTTTTCTCCATGGAGTTCCTCTTGTTGTACTGCTGCAATTTTATTGTAACCATTAATTCCATACCTATCATGAAAACAATTCTCCAGAAAACAAATGTGTTTTTACTATTGCTAAAAACCATTGTATTTTTAGGTCACAAAATTTTGTATTTCATCTAGGAAATTAGACTCCAGAGAATTCTGGCTAATCTTTAACAGTCTCTATAATAAAGGTAAATCAGTTTTTCTAACTCTCTTGCATGGTTTAATTGTTTGCTAAGAGAGGTAGATAAATGTGGAGAGGCTAAAGTGGCATCTGTTATTCCTATTTTCAAAAACTCTAGAGAGCGATTTGGCTTACCATCCCATTAGTCTTTACCATTCCATTAGTAAAACACCTAATCTCTCATCTTGAATCTAATGATTTACTTTCTGATCATAAATATGGATTTCATTCTTTTTGTTCTATTGCTGATTTGTTAATGGTATTAACTGATAGGTTTTAATCTGAATTCTGATAGGTTAAAACTTTTATTGTGCAGTAGATGTAGAGAGGTTAAATCTTTTTTAAATTAAAATCTACCATAAATTCTCACATCTAAGGTGACATTGTTCGCTGATAATACTACCATTTATTCTTGTCTAGAGAAGATTAAACGGTAGTCAGTGGCTGATGAACTTTATGACTGTCAGTGGCTGGTGAACTAGTCATGGCTGTCAATGGCTTGTGAACTTTAACTCAGATAAAACTCAATTTTTCTTAACACATTGTTATCACAACAATCTAGATTTTCCTATATTTATAAACGGTAATGTACTTGATGAGTCATCTACCCTTTGTCTTTGTCTAGGATTAACTCTTACTTTTGATCTTTTTTGGACATCATATATCAAATCCATTGCAAAATTAGCATCTGTGAAGGTTGCATCTCTTTATCATGCTCACCACTTTTTTACTCTAGATTCTATTCTTTATCTCTACAAACCTCAAATCTGTCATTGTATGGAATACTGTTGCCATATCTGGAGCAGACCTTCGAATGATCCCCTTTTTTTTTAGAAAAAGTGCAAAACCACATTGTAAACATAGTTTGACCTGCTCATGCACCCACAATTTAACAATTGTCATGTCACCATAATGTTGCTTCTCTTTTTCTTTTCCATAAATACTATAATAGGCACTGCTCTAAAGAGCTAGCATCTCTTGTGCCATCTACTAAAATTTATTATTGCGTTACTCATCATTCTAATAAGTCTCATCCTTTTGTTGTGACTGTTTCTAAGTGCTCCAAAAATTCTTATTTGTCTAGTTTTTTTCCTGGAACATTAGTTAGGAATTTGCTCCATTTATCTTGTTTTCATGATTCAAATAATTTGCAATTATTGCTATCTTGCTTTATAAACCTCATCTTTTCTCTTTCAGTAACTTCTAACTCTAATGTAAAGCAAGACAAGGATTGACAGACGACTTAAAAGATTGCAAATTATATGAATCAGGAAAGCAAGA